CCCTCGCTTTCCTCTCTGGCGACTCTCCTCTGCAGCGGAAGAAGGGACCCAGGTAGGCCGCGCTGTTGCTGCGGTTTCTATGCCTGCCCTGCCCTGCCTTGCCCCGCCACGTTGTAAGTCAAGAATTCGGAGGCGCGAGCAGGCCAGCAGCTGCTTCCGCGATTAGTTCGGGTAAGGCGGCCGCGGCTGGGCGGTCCTTCTCTGCCTAACTTTTATCGCTGCTTCGGTCCGCCCCCGCTTGCCCTAGGGCTCGCGGGGAGAGCCAGAGGGAGGGCGCTTCTCTCCGCGGTATCCGGCGAAGTTAGCTGGAGGGGAGGGAGGCCCTAGGAGAGGAGCGGCGTCACTTTACCGCTTGTTCGTGCTGTATTAACGGCCCAAAAATATTTCCTTTAGTGGTCCCGGTGGAGTCTCTCGTGGCGCATTTAAAACGAATCTTCGTGGGTCGCGATTGCATTTGCCAATGCAGTGAACCAAGGAGAGTAGCGCGCTCTCAATTGGAACCCCACGAGCTTAAGCCAACAATTTCAAAGTACCGTATTTTCTGGCGTATAAGACGACTGGGCGTATAAGACGACCCCCAACTTTTGAGAAGATTTTCAGGGTTTAGAAAGTCGTCTTATACGCCGGAAAATACGGTACCACTTTTTGAATGTGCCTCTTCCAATGGAATATTTTCCAAACTGTTTCTGCTAAGTTTAATAAGAATTTTATGTAGTTTAATACTTTTTAAAAATGCAGTTCTCAGCATAATGTATTTATGCTCCTTAATTAATATTCCAGATTTTTCCTCTCTTAAATCTTATACACAAAGACACTTTTAGTAATGCTGTATACTAAATCTTGGATAACTAATTACAACCAAAATGTTGGTGTTTTAATGTAGGATAACTAATATTTCATATAGATTAAGATTAAAAATCCTCTGCAACTGGAGTTTTTTTTTCCAGTCCCCTTTAACCCAATAAAAGTTTTCATTCACTACCCCATTCTAGTTACATAAATATCCCTGCCATCTTCCATCCTAAAATTTTTATTATTAATATTTATTTATTTATTCATTTGTTCGTTTGTTTAGAGATATGGATGAATAATACAACTCTTATTATCCTTAGTCCATCAAATTCAGAGTACAGTCCTGTTGAAGCAATGCATATACATCTATTCTTGTGATAATGGAAACAGGAATATTTAATTAGAGAAGTAGGAAATATAGGAAGTCCAAGTAATGATTATTTAAAAATCAGTTACTACACATCTATTCTTGTGGAAATGGGAACAAAATTATTTAATTAGAGAAATACGAAATATAGGAAGTGAAAGTAATCAGTTTACTTTAAAAATTAGTTACTATTATCTGAATCCATGTATTTGCCATACATTCTGGGAAACCAATTATTATTCCACAATGCCATTATAGATTTTTTGTATTTAAGGACACCTGAATGTTTTCTTTTTTTATTACAATATTCTATTTTACTGTAGAATATTGAAAAGGACCTTCCTCTTGACAAGGTTTCCTGATCCAAGATTGATAAGCATTAAACCCTTCTGATTATATAATCTATATAAATAAAAATGTAAATGTTCGTTTGTTCAAAATCTTAAATCTCTGAAAGTTCTTCACCAATTGCTTTGAAATTTTGACACAACGTTGCATTCGAATACGCACGTGTTTTTATATACCTATATTATATAGATGTCACACCTGTGACAGGTAAAAACATGCTTTTTAAAAAAACAGTGCCATCTGTTGGACGTAAAAGCAATACACGCTTTTACCAGACTGAGCCACAGCAACGCGTGGCCGGGTACAGCTAGTATTGAATAAACATACAGTAAATATTTGTCCTGATTTTTTTCTGTATGGTCAGAATGTATGGAATATGTTCGTGCTCACACTAATATATAGTTGTATGTCAGTAATACTTATGTATGATCATTACAACACAGTTTGGTATTTTTACTAAGAATTCAATAGCGCTAACTCTGTTTACAGGCAATGCAAGGCCATGGTAGTATTAAGTAGATCAAGAAGGAAGTACTGTTACATGAAACTAAATTCCTATTACTAGGAAAAGACAATCCAAAATTTAATCTCACTTTATTTTTTATTTATTTACCCACATTAGGAATTATGACTTTTAAAAAATTCTAGCCAATTGCTCTACAAATTAAAAAAAAACACCTTGAAGTTTGATATTGATTTATCAGTTGAAACCACAACTCCTAAACTATATGTAAAGAGAAAGGAGCATTGCTTTCTTTTTATTTATTTAATGTTACATAATGCCAGCAAATGTGTAAAGAGGATTAATATTACTACATATGTGTTCAGGATTGCTTCTCCTCTGATATTTCAAAATATAAAAAATATGTAAACATACAAAGTGTGCATGTGTATATAAACAACAATATAAATTCTTTGCACCCCACAGCATTATTGGATATTCAGATTCTGTGATCAAGTAGGGTTTTTGGATTAACTAAAATAAATATCAATTAAAACTAATTTTCCCCTGTTGTATATCATGAGATTGATAATGTATATGCCCTGTGCAATTGCCATGTCAGCTGTCTTCATCAAGATGTGACTCCACTTAGCAACTCCTGACCCTGTTTTGTCATATTTAGAATCTAATTTTCTGTTATGAAACTAGTGAAATCTTCTCAACTCATCAAGTCTATTTTAAGAGACTTCCAAAAATACTAGATGTCCTTGTCATACTTAATTATGTTTACATTACCTTTATAGATCTTTCTTTATGTATATTCTCATAATTTATTTGTAAAATAATAATATATTTTCTTAGAGATACGGAAATAGTTTAGGGTTTTTTCTTTATTTTAGTTAGCTAGTTGTTTTGTTTAGAAAAATCTTAAATCTCCTTTCAGGGCATTCTCTTCAGCCAAGACATTCTCCATTCTTTGATCATTTTTATTCTATTTGTAAACAGTTGTTTCATTTTGGATTTCTTCTTTTGGAAACTAGAGTTTCTTGGGGAGACTTTTACAGCCATAGTGTTTTGCATTGCATTCCTTGGAATAATATTCTATAAAAATACCCATCTCTGTAGACTTGATTCAAAGAATCCATTGTATTGATTCAATCTTTTAAAATGGGGCGGTGTTTTGCCTATGATCTCTTTCAGTAGTTGAGCCTACTTAAATGCAAGATTATTGAGGCTGAGAAAGATTTGAATTTTGAAGCGAGCAAAAATATAGCCCTTAGCAAGACTTTTATTCATACAATCAACATCATTTGATATTAAGTTATATAATTAGATTGGAATGGAAGAAGAAATGTCATGGTAATAGAAACTGCAATAAACATAAAGAAGCTCAATTCTGTTTTATAGCCTTTCCTTTTATTAATAAAGCTTGTCTCCAAATTTTTCATGTAGTTAGTCTTCCAAGTTTCATTGCTGTCTTTCAAAATAAGTTTATATATTATTTATTATTGAAAGGCAGTGTAGTGGGGTTCAATGCTAGTAAGCTGAGAAATAGCCAGGCAATTTATAAAAACCTTTAAAGTCTAACTGCTTTAATATTGAATTTTCTTTCCCATACTCTGATGGGGACAGAATCAAATACATGATTGTAAAATTATCTGTTCAAGCGATAAGCAATCAGATACCCTCCAGGTGGTTTTGGACTTTAACTAGTATTAATATTTTGTCTCATTACATAGCCAGCATTAGACATTACTATATATAATTTACAGCCTATATCTACAACTTTGATTCCCACAATTTGATATTAAACTATAGATCTTATGTGGCTCCTAAACTATAAAGCAAAAACATGAATGAATGTTTCAATTCATAATTCCTTTTTTCTGAAGAAGAAACTTGGGCATCCAATTTTACCATACTGAAATATTGCTATATTGTTACTCTCCAAACTTGGAATAAATTGGGATATTTTAATTTCTTTGTATTTTGAAATCTGAGTCTTTTGTCTGATTTATTTGCTTGCTTTTGTTAACAAATTGCAGACAATATGTGGAATTTAAAGTAGTCCATTCAGATCATCTTTCATTGCTTATAAAGATTTAAGGGAAAATCTTTTTTTTAATTCATCTTCGTATTAAAATCTTCCTAATTTGGGGTATTGTTGAAAATGTCTAGCTTGGGCTTAAAGATCAAGGAAAAAGGTTTTTAAAAGTCACAGTTGCCTTTGGGAATCTATACCATCTGATTTAGAGGTTATATTGAAAAACTATCTATATAGAAAGATTTTTGCTCTTAATATATAGACCTTACCACAATTTTATGAAGTGTATGTACTTCCATGTAGACAGTTATATCTTTTAACAGCAGTAGAATGGTCCTTAATATATCTGATTGATAATGACATTGCAGAAAAAAATCAGGAACTATAGAAAATGAAGCATTTTTGAATTATACCCATTTTCTTTTAAATTTCTTCTGATTCGGAAGGCGTGTTGTATAGTAGCAGGAACACATAAAGTAGGTAAAATATCAGAATTCTAATATAAGTTGCTTGCAAATCAGATTGAACTTCTGTAAATAGGCATAAAGTCCTTTTTGCTATAAAAATGTCTCTTTTTTAATAATGACTATTAAGCAGTTTAGGAGAGTTTATTAATAGAACTGCCTTTCTTCAAATATATATATACATATATGTATCAGAATAAAAATGAATTAAGTTTATTGTATGGCAATCAGCATAATAAGAACTTAACCTTACATTCAATCTCATTTTTAGTGGTTTAAACCACTTTCTTTTCTTCAACTTCAGTAAGGAAACATGAATTAAGACAATTTTCCAGCATGATTGTTCAAATACTAGAACTTAACAGCTATAATGTTTACGCTCAATGTTTTCTGAGTTCATAAGATGCTTGTGTGCAATAGTGTTGATAATGAATTAAACATGTGAAATAATTTTATTACTCTTTAGAGTTTAAAACATTTCTTCTCTGCTCTTTAATATCACTTGATAGCTTTTGCTTTCCTTCCTACTCACACTCTTTTTAGGAGTTGATTCCACTCATTCTGTGTACAGCTTGCCTCCATCCTGAACCTAAAGAAAGAGATCAACTCCTACACATACTGTTCAACTTGATCAAAAGGCCAGATGATGAGCAAAGGTGTGTGCTTTATATTAGCAGGAGGCTTTCTCTTTCTGACTTTTTTTTTTAAGTTGGGGATTACTTATTTACTGCAGACATTCCCTCAATAAGTTTCTAGTCTGATTTAAACATTATACCTGTATAAATTGCCAAAGGTAACATAAGCATTTTTCAGCAATGTTCTAAATGGCAACATAATTTTCAGTATATAGAACAACAGTTTAAAACAACTTGTGTGTATATAAATTCCTAATAATCTTTACTCCCTTGACATATTGAGCAATTAGGACAGTAATAGGAGAGGCGTGGTGGCATAGTAGTGAAGACACTCGCCTCCCATTCAGAGAGTTCAGTCCTAGGTATCGTGTTTCCCCGAAAGTAAGACCTACCCCAAAAAGAAGCCCTAGCTTGATTTTTGGGGGTGGGCCTAATATAAGTCCTACCCCAAAAGTAAGCCCTAGTTTTGGGATGAGGTGCACACCTAAAAATCAAGCTAGGGCAGGGGTGGAGCTTACCATAGCGACAAGGCCTCCCATGGATCGACACTTGCCTCGCCAGCCCACTTCTTCTGCAACCAAAGGAGCAGCTTCATTCTGCAGCTGAGAATGGAGCTCGGGCCTCCATTTCGCAGTCAGAGGCCTTTCCGGAAGGCCTGTGAAGCCGAGAACCGAGCTAAGGATTCAATCTGTAGCTCTGTTCTCGGCTGCATAGGCCTTCCGGAAAGGCCTCTGACTGCGAAATGCAGGCCTGGGCTCCATTCTCAGCTGCAGAATAAAGCTGCTCTTTCAGCCACAGAAGACGTGGGCCGGCTGGGTGGGGCTGTTGGTACTGTCACCATGTGGTGAGTGGAAAAGACACCCCCCCCTGAAAATAAGATCTGGTGCCTCTTTTGGAAGCAAAAAAAACCCCAGGTCTCATTTTTGGGAAAACACAGTAGCGGCAGATACTTTTCTCTCAGAGCACAAAGAGAAGATATCTGCTGTGAACTCCATGTAGGCATCAGGAAGGGCATCCAGCCAGTAAACACTCAGCTCCATTTAGTCATCCCAACTCTACCCGGAATTAATAATTACAGGATTGTTAAAAAAAAAAAAAAGGGACTGAAGAATAGGTGCATATTATTTCCAATGGATTATTGACTGAATTATTTTGATAGCTGAGAGGAAATTCTACAAGTAGCTATCCCTGATTATAAAAACAAAAAACCAAACTGCTGCATTTTATCTGATCATCTAACACTGCCTAATGACAAAATTACCCTTATGTTTGCCCACTTTGAAAAGTATTTCATTTCATAATATATTCATTGAGTTATAAAAACAAACATGTTTGCCCTGTTCAGTATAAACAGGCCACTTTTCACTCAGTTCTCCTGAAATCTAATCAGTTTATTTCGAAATAGTTTAATTTATTTTTAAAACCCTTTTTGATTTCTTCAAATTATCTTTCTTGTATAAACCACTTGAGTATATATTTTAAAAAATGTTTAGGTATCTTCCATCTATTTTGCCTTATTTTAAGCTACTGTTTTTATATTCATTTCAAATTTGAAATAGTTCATAGTATAATATTACTGAACAGTCATAAAACTACCACGGATTGGTTTGAAATAAATACTATATATCCATTCCCTGTTCAGAAAACGTATAGGAAATTGGTTAATGATCGATCCTCAAACTTTGAATATACTCCTTGATATAGCCTTGGTCAGGGGTAGGCAACCTCGGCTCTTTTATGACTCATGGACTTCAGCTCCCAGAATTCCTGAGTCAGCTATGCTGAGGGGAAAGGGAGAGTTTCCAAGTTGAGCCATGCTGACTCAGGAATTCTGGGAGTTGAAGTCCATGAGTCATAAAAGAGCCGAGGTTGCCTACCCCTGGCCTTAAAAGTCATTGTCAAGTTCTAATCATCAGGCTGTGTCTCATGAGACTGTCCTTAGGAAAATATTTTAAAAATCAAATTATCTGAGAAGTTGTCTTGGCTTTGCAGCACAGACTTAGAGCAATCTGCAGATTCTTCAAGCAGAATTTAATTTTTGAAGGGAGATGATGCAGTGCTAATTGAGGAACTGACATCTTTATAAAGCTTAGAAGACTATTTCTACCCCTCTATTGAATGGTAGGTAGCGGGTTGTTACGTTTCTTAACAGCATTTTTAAAATGAAATATAGTGTGAGGCTCCTAGAGATTCAGTTTCATAGAAAAGTAAATGTTCAGCGATATGTTGCCAATTTTATCACATTTATAGGCTAAATTTGATATATGGGAGATATTAACTAAATATTTTTAGATTCAAGCAAATCATCAGTACAGTGTAGACCAAATCCTCTGACTTTATAACAGGCTAAACGGTTTTGAGCATTTTAAAGTTTTTACATATATTAATAAAAGAGCTACTTTTTTCTTTTCCTCTTTCCTTTTTTTCAGTTTGTATCTCACATAAAGTATATTTTTAATTTTGCATAATTAAAATAATCTTGACTTTATTCTGTATAGTATATATTCACATCGTGGATCATTTTGTCTACAGCATTTTTCTTACAGTATGAATATATTCACTTATGAAAAAAGTGACTGCATTTATTATGCTTTCCACAATACGAGCAGCAGTTTTATACAGGTAGTCCTCATTTAGCTATCACATTGGGGCCAGTAACTCAATCATTAAGCAAAAAGGTCCCTAAATGGAATCATGACTGTATTTATGATATTACTTCAGCTTTGCTTTCCAGGCCTGAGAAGCTTATAATTGCAATGACTGCCATTAAGATTACTTTTTCATCATCATGGTAACTGAGTAGTTGCTAAACGAGACAATCACTAAACAAGGGCTACCTGTAAAGTCAATTCCATTGTATACAAAAGCAAGATAAAAGTGTGCATTTCCCACAGAAATAAAGAAAAATATACTTTTTAAAAGAGCTTGTCTTTGAAAGTTATTTGTGTTATCAATTGTTGACTGGCTGTGAGTAAAAGAGCATCTGGTTCAAATTATCTTAATTATTCCTTCAGATGGTGCATCTGCTGTTTGCTAAATGTTTGCAGGTTACACTAGCATGTTTGTCATTGTAGGCTTGTTTCTGTTTTTTTACTAGGCAAATGATTTTGACTGGGTGTGTGGCATTTGCACAGCACGTTGGACCTACACGTGTAGAAGCTGAACTCTTGCCACAGTGTTGGGAGCAGGTATAATTTCTGTTTTGCATGTAATTCACTATGAGATCATATTTTCCCAGCCATAGTAATATGATCAGCAGCATTTATTAAATCACGTATGGTGGTATATAAATCTGCCAGAATGAATTTCAGGCTAGCAAAAATCAAGAAGTATTTGAATCAGAATCTGAATAGTTCATATCTCAAGTCAAATGTCAGTGGCATAGATTTTCTGTGGAAACCAAAGAAATTTTATGTCCAGTCTATAAATAGAAGATAATTGCAGAGTCTTGAAATGCAACTTATTATTGTTCACTTTTTATATGGGATTTATAACAAATAATATTGTAAGCAGAAAAAGGAATAAATGTTAACAAATATTAACAAAAAAAATATTGTCTCCCACAGATCAATCACAAATATCCAGAAAGGCGGCTATTAGTAGCAGAGTCCTGTGGAGCATTGGCACCATATCTTCCTGTAAGTGTTCTATATGCAGTTATTATTATTATTATTATTATTACTTTAAATTGAATAGACATTGTCAAGAGATTAAAGCTGTGGCCTTCAACCAAAAGCCAGGGAGACTTGAGGAAGAGGTCTGCACTAGGCGTCATCTTATTCTCAACTTATTGTTAGGGGCAAGGAAAGACAACATGGTCTATTATAAAAACTAAGTAATCTACGGTGTTCTTCTTCCCAATCCCACTATTCATTTTTATACCCTCCCCAAATTACACTGCCAAAACTGGAAGGAATTCAGAAAGTTTGGGGTACTGGCCAATTATCAATTATATTTTGTTAGCAGTTGCATTTTTTTTTATATTTTGCCAAGAGTTCATGGCCATGTAAGGTTCATTTTCTTTTATTTAAAACATTTTCTTTTATTTAAATATAAACATATTTTTTAAAATCATGCTTTACTTTTAAAGTACCCTTTCCTAAAAATCAATTCTAAAATGTAACATAAACCAAGATATAAGCAGTTTTGGGGAGCTGCAAAAACCAACAAAAAGCAAATCTTAAAAAAAGTAAAACTAAATAAAGAGTATTGAGTCAGAGGGTTCATTTTTAAAAAAATATTTTTTATTAATTTTTTTTAATAACAATCTTTAGTGCTTCATGAACAGTGTGTTGTCTGGGTTCGTATATTTAAAACAATCAATGATAATTAATTTCTACAATTAATCAATATGTTGGTAATATATTTTTTGATCCTCTCTTCCTGTAATATTCTTCTTTTGTCTACATTAAACAAATATAATTTTTAATATTTTCAGTACAAACCAAGTTGAATATAAACATTTTTTAGTATTTATGCATATAATAACATCAACATATAGCATGTTTTTAATCAGCTTATTTCCATTGTATTTATAAAAGTCATCTTATTAAATCATTATATGTCCTGTTTTCAAGATTCTTATTGAAGCTTAGTTTCCCCTCAGTATTCAAACCAATCTTATCAGTCATAATTTTCTCAAAATTCATTACCTTTAAATATCAAAACTTTTCATTTAAATAGACCTGAGTCAGAGGGTTCCTTAAGTGGCACGTTTTTATTCCATCAACTATCTGAAACAACATATGATAAATTTAATAATCGTCCTCTTGAAGTCTTTCAAAAATCAAATGGATTATTTTGGTCAAATCATTCATCAGATATTATATTCATTTGCCATTTCTCTGTAGCTAATTCTTTGATTAAAAGCTGATAGAAATATATTGCTACTAATTTGCCTTTGCAGTTTTGAATTATGTAGCACTGGCTAATACTAGATTACTATTTATTTTCAGAAAGAAATCCGTAGTTCATTGGTTCTTTCCATGCTACAGCAGATGCTAATGGAAGATAAAGCAGATTTGGTACGAGAAGCTGTAATCAAAAGTCTTGGTATCATCATGGGATACATTGATGATCCAGACAAATACCAGCAGGTATTGTGCCTGATTATATGTATATGAGTAAAAGCATATGAAATACATTGTTTACAGGGATCCAGGATAAAGTATTCAGCACAATTACTGAATAACCTTGATTACTTAAATTATTCAATCATCCAGTATCTAGAATGCTTGTGCAATTTTTATATGAATGATGTTACTCGTTTTTTTACTCTTAGTTTTATAAATCATATTTACTCTGAAATTTTGCAAATTTAAAACAAGTATTTAGTTTTTCTTGTTTTGCTTTTTTCCTGAGGTTTTTAACAGAATTACCGTTTTAATGTTTAATCACAGTTTAACATAAAATGCTAAATCAAAATATTTCCTATGGACTTCTTTTCTGGTTTGCTGTATCAAAGAATCCAATTGTGATTGTGAAAATGCAGAGTGATCAGATTTCTTATTTCTGTTTTTTATTTATTCCTGCTGTTTTTCTATTTGGAAAGGCCACAGCATAGAGTTGCAAAATCGCAACAGAATTACAAACTAAGCCTCCTAAAATGTACATAAAATTCTACTGGTATATGGATATGTTATATATTTAAACTAAATAAAATTCCTACATGTGTTTTTCCTTGTATTGCCAGGGATTTGAACTGCTACTCTCAGCATTGGGTGATCCCTCAGAACGAGTAGTTAGTGCAACTCATCAAGTATTCTTACCAGCTTATGCTGCTTGGACTACAGAATTAGGAAATTTACAGTTGCATCTTATACCTACATTGCTTAGTAAAATTGAAAAACTACTCAAGGTAAATATATAAAAAGTCAGATTTTTTTTATCATTTGTGAAAAATAAGAAGTTTTAATATAAACCAAATAGCTTTGGTGCCTTTTACTTCAAGGGACAGATGTATTGATATATTTGTTTGTGGACAGGACCATCATCCGTCTTTCTTATTATTCTGCTAAACATTTTTCTTAAGACATTACAGTTGCCTATTTAAGTTTGTACCATAATTTCTGATGAATGTAAAAATAGTGGAAATATAAATACAGGTAATCCTCAACTTATGAACACAATTGAGCCCAACATTTCCGTTACTAAGCAGGATAGTTGTTAAGTGAGTTTTGTTCCATTTCACAACCTTTTTTGCCATAGTGTTTAGTGAATCACTGCGATTGTTAAACTACTAACATGATTGTTAAGTGAATCTGGCTTCTTCATTGACTTTGCTTGTCATAAGGTTGCAAAAGGGGATCACATGACCCCGGGACACTGCAACTGTCATAAATACATATCGTTGCCAGGCATCCACATTTTGATCACGTAACCATGGGGATGTTGCAATATTCATAAGTGAAAAACGGTCATAAGTCACTTTCACACACTTCCAACAGCTGTCCATGAAGGAAATTCAGGAAAATCTGTTATTCTTTAAGATTCTGTCCTTGTGGCAAGGGAGCAATTGAAAACTGCTGCTGCTTTCATGTTGGAAGCACTGAGGCACTTCCGGGATAAAAGGATTCGACGGTGACATTACTGTTGCCCAGGGGACGCCCGGTTTCAGGTTCCTTTCATGATCCTGTTAATATGCCAAAGTGGTACCTATCTATCTACTTGTGATTACTCGCTTTAGAACTGCTAGTCGGCGCTCACTCCGCCATTCAGTAGCACTTGGGTCTCAAACGTATGCTTGCTGATTGTCAACCCGGCATCCTAAACCACATGACCCACCGGACTCCGCAGCACTCGGATATCAAACACGAGCTTGCCTGATTGTCAACCAACAACATGGCAGTTGAAAATGTGGTCATTATATTGTTGTACTGCCCATTTGTAATAATACACAGCTATATTTTATATTTCCCCTAGTGACTAAATTTCCAGGTCATTCAGTTTATTTTTTGTACAGTTGTTAGCAAATCAATATGGTTGAGTCTATTTGAATGTAGTCAAAGTTTCTTGTACTGTTTGTAAAACCTATTTCGGTTTTACAGACAATACAATCATATTGATTAGTTTATTTTTATCTTCTTTTATTTTGTTACTTTTCATTTTTACCTTTAAGTGAAGTTTTCGTAATTAATCGTAATAAAAGTCTGACTGATCCACTGACTATATATCTACTTTTTAGGAAATGCTCTTGAGTGGCTATGTAGTAAAAAAAAAGCCAAGTTTTAACTTAGATTTCTGGAATATGTTTCAGGAGAGTGAACATGGACTAGATGAACATAAACTCCACATGTATCTTTCCGCTTTACAATCCTTGATACCTTCTCTTTTTGCACTGGTGTTGCAAGATGCCCCGTTTACAAACAAAGCTAAGCTTCAGGGAGAAGTCCCACATATAGAAGGTACCTACTTCAGTATTTTCTGCAAAGCTTTATTTAGAAATAAGATATCATAGAAATGCTGGTGTAGTTGTTGGAGTTGTTCAACCATTTTTCTCTCTGTTTAGTTTAGAAATTCTAATGCTTGTTTGGAAAATAATAATATACAATATATATTTGTGTGTGTGTGTGTATTTATGTGTGTGTATGTGTATGTGTGTGTGTGTACACTGTGTATGTGTATATGTATGTAATTATCAATTTAACTAAAGCCTGGGTTTAAAAAAAAAAAAAAAAAAATTCTTACACAATCCTGATGACTTTTTTGGGGGGGGGCTGGTGCAAAAACCATGCAGTGATCCAGTTGTTTTCTTAATATTATAAAAAAAAGGCAATAGTCCTCTTGATTTAGCAACAGGTGATTTCAGTTAGTAATTTAAAACCCTCTAGGTTATCATTATGTGTGAATGCAGTTGGTTCCTTTCAGATATATTTTTCCTAACACTAAATTGATAAGGTTCTCAGTCATTTTGTTTTTCAATCATAAAGCTTCCAAAAGGATTTTATATCGGTATTGTCCTCTAGATATTATTGAACTCAAGCCCCATCACTCCTAATCAGTAATACCGGTAGTGGAAAATAAGAGTTTTAGTTTTAGTTAAACAATATTTAAAAGCTATATGTCGAAGGTTTTCTTTAAAGAGTCTGACCCTAGATATAAGATGGACAGATGGTCCTTACTTAACAGCAATTCATTTAGTGATCATTCAAAGTTACAAAGGCGTCAAATGAGTGGTACTCACAACCAGTTCCAAAATTCCAGCCATCCCAACAACTGTATAGTCATGATTATGATCGGGGTGCTTGGCAACTGATTCACAGTTATGATGGTTGCAGCATTCCACAGTCACATAATAGTATTTGCAAATTTCCTTGCCTGTTTTCCACAGGCAAAGTCTAAATTAAATTTAGATATACTTTTTGAAATTCAATACTAAAATCACAGGTTCCTAGGAAACAACAATATTAATGTATACCTTTGATTCAAGGGACAGGGAGCTATGTATTTCTCAAGATGTTATTATTTATGTCTCATCATACCTCAGTACCTCAGCATCAGTCATGCTGGCTAGAACTGATAAATTCAGAATACCTGGAGAAATACAAATAATCCATATGTCATGTGTCTGAGTAACGAAACACTTAAAAGGAGTTTCAGGCATGTTTTCTCCTAAAAGCATTTATTAATGTTAAAGTACATCAGCACGGCATGGTGGAATGCTTAGAACTGCTTCTCTTCCGTTACACATAGCATTCCAGACATTTTCCACTCCCTTATTGTAGGGTCATGGTTCACATCTTCCAATCAACTTGGAAGATGTGATTTACTTCCGGTTTCTTTCTCCCGGGCTATCCTTATGCTCCTCCTTCTTTCCTAGTTGCTGGTTTAACTATATATATACCAGACAGTTCTGCACATTGTCAAAGCAAGAATATACAGTATTTGCAGCGTTGACACCATCCTTCTTTATTAATGCTTTTTGGAACACAAATTGAATAAAAATTGTTGATTAAAAATTAATCACACCCATTATTTCTCTTCCTGATTCTTACTGGATCAACCGAAGATAAATATTTGGGTTGTTTGCTTTCAGTAACAAGGTTCCCAAGACCTGTATCACCTCTACAGGATGTGGCCACTATAATCGGAAGTCGTGAACAACTCGCTGTATTGTTGCAGCTTTATGATTACCAGTTAGAACATGAGGGTACCACAGGATGGGATACCTTACTATGGGTTGTCAATCAACTGTGAGTTCTTGTTTTGTTCCATTTGATAATTTTGTTTTTAAATAATATTTTAATGTCTACCTTTGAAATTTATGCTATAATTTGTTTCAACATTTTTCAGATGAATACAGGTAGCATGCAAAACTTCTACATACTTAAATATCTTAATTCAAAACCATTACTTTTAGATTAAGATGAGGTATCCAAGATTGCTAAACATTTTTCAATACTGTTCTGGCCATTGAATGTTTGCCATGAATGCTGCAAACTAAATTTTAAATTGATGTTTAAAGCTCTAGATGTTTCCAGAATAGCCAGAACACATAGAATACTCGTACTCAATTTCAAACTTAATTGTTCTGAACTCAGATTATTTAAAATTTAAAATATTTAAATTAAAAATATTAAAATAAATAAAATTTAAAATACTGTGCAGAAAATATTCGGCACAGTCCTATTTAGTATTGATTATGGTTGACTCCTGATGACGTCGCAAGCACTGCCATGTAATGTTATCAGGAACTATAGGTAGTGCTTGCTTAACAACCAGCCACTTAGCAAAAATTCAAAGTTATGACAGACTCCCTAAAAGGTATTTATAGCCCAGTTCTTGAGTTCCAATGGCATCTAACATGACCCCACAAGTCATATGACCACATTTCAGGTTTTCAGCAACTGGTTCATCTTTACAGCTGGTTACAGCATTCTATAGTCACATGATTGCAATTTATAATGTTTTTTGCTGGTTACCATAGAAACAAATGGATTTGTTTAACACCTGTGGCATTCACTTTACAACCACAGCATTCACTGAATCGGATTGGTCATGTAATTAAAAATAAAATAATTTCTTTGGGCCTGAACACCAAGAACCATAGAGTTTTCCTGGAAAAGAATCAGCTTACATTAATCTTAATCTTGATTTTTCAGATTGCCTCAACTTATTGAAATTGTTGGTAAAATCAATGTAGCGTCAACAGCATGTGTTCATGAATTCTCAAGGTTTTTCTGGCGACTTTGCCGAACATTTGGAAAAATTTTCACCAATACAAAGGTATAATGAAATATAACAATTCTCTATATAGATAGTGGAATAATAACATGGAATTATAGATTTAGAAAAGACATCTAGTTTTCCTCTTCTCAGACATTTTTTCTATTAAAAGGATACTGCATCTTATCATCATTTTGCTTAATGTTTCCTTATCCTTGTTAATTATGGTTTTTCTATTGTAGTATGTAGACCTTAAATGCTTTTATTTCACCAACATTAGAAAATGTGTCTGCCAACACATTTTTCCACTTTTCCATTTAAACGCAAAGTAGTTAATTAAAATCCAATTGATGCAATTCTCCAGAAAGTTTAGATTACGTTCATTGGAATGCATACTAAGACATCAATACTCTGTCTACTAACAACCTTGGTGAAAGAGGCTCACATATCTTCAACCATTTAGATAAAGATAGGGAATTCTTATCCAGATCTTTGAGGAAAGGTAGAATAATTTCTCCCTTGCAAGGATAGCTTTTCAAAAACTATGCTTGCCAAATATTTCAGTGGATGGTACTAGAATAGCAGTAGCAACTGAACAAATGTTCTTAAAACTTTCTGAATGTAAAAAACCCCCCTCCTTTCTGAATGTGATTGCTTATAATTTCATATGTTACTGTAACTCTTCATTTTTAAAAGCAATAATCAGTAACAAATATTTTTCTGTTTTCCTGTTGCTCTATAAACAAAGTTGGAGACATAATACTTTGGAGATAAAATTCCATTAGAAGAAAATATATGTAGCTCAGGTTGAATTGTGGAGCCTTTGAGGCTCTCTGACCCTGATGTTTGCTTGCAAATGTTGCATTTTTTATAACCTTAAATTTATTAATAGTGCTGTTACTTACAAATTAGTTTTTCCATGTTTTTCCAATATCTTACATGTTCATACCAGCCATTGACTTCCAAGATTTAAATAACAGTGGCTCAGGTAAAATAGCAAATGATTTTGAAAAAACATTTCCAAATGAATAACCATTAATTTCTGAGTCAAAAAATTGAAAAGGCAAATATAAAATAAAAGTGTTCCATTTTTCTAGTCCTTTTTCTTCCAGTTTACTTAAATTAATGCTTAATTAATGTATGAGGGAAATATAGGTACAAATATTTTAAAGGATTCCTAAAGCATCGTTATTTAATATTCAATGATCACATTATTCCTTAAAACTTTGAAGAAGTTAAAGTGGCTTTGATTTCTGGTCCATGTTTTAGGTAAAACCACAATTCCAGGAAATTTTACGGCTCTCTGAGGAGAACATTGGTAGGTATATTTTTTTCTATAAACTTAAATGCTTAATTGGAAAAAAAATCAAGATCATCACTTTTATAAATAAGATTTTGAAACACAATTCAACTTATTTTAAAAAAATAAAATAAAGGATAACCAAATGCCTGAACGAACTTTGAAAAAAGTTTTTGTTTTAATATATAAAAAAAGAAAAAAGTAACAAATACATTAAAACATACTACATATAGGAAACATTTAAGCCTAATTTCTAAACCCTTAACTTTATGGGTTGAGGTCATATGATCAGTCATTTCATTGCTTTGATAAAGAGCTACTTCATCAACAAGAAGGAAAAGTATAGCTATGATCTAAAACAGTAAATATGGGGTCATGATGTTTTTCAACCATTAAAGAATAATCTTTTTGTGCTGTCTCTCCCATACTTAATAAATCCCAAAAGATAAGGTATAGGTCTAAGAAATAAAAAATAAATATTTGTATAGTGATGCATTTCATGTTTTTATGTGTAATTCTGAAGTACATCTTGAAACTATATTTAATATTATAACACCTTATTAACAGTTTAGTTGGATATTATAAAATGGAGCAATATAGGGATAACCCCATATCATGTGAATAAGTATGCCTTCACCTATTCCAAAGTAATGAAGTTGGCAGTCAACACTTTTTAAACACTCACTGGAGTCTCCAGTAAGCATGAAAAAAAAAATTCTTGAATTATTTCATTTGAAGATTATAAGGTAACTACATAAACATCTTAGATGTTTCCTTAATTAATTATAGCTGCCTTTCTCAAAAAGTGACTATTGATTTCTTGATATATTACAGACTTTAACTAATATGCTACTTAGCAATACTTCTTAATTGCTTATTTAAAGTTAATATAAACTTGGGATTGTCCAAGACTTTCCAGAGCCAATAGTAATTTGGAAGTTTAAACATTCCTCATGCATCTGGTCTAAGCTACAAAATCAAGAGGTATTTTAATTGTATATGCCACAATTTTGCATCAGATACTAATAATTTTAAAAAATTGTATGCCACCTGATTTTTAATGACTGAATGAATAAAATACAGAATACTTATAAAATACAGAATATTTATAGATCTGCCTCTGCGGAACTGTTTCTTGTGCAAAAAGCTAGATGACAAAAATACAGTTATTATTATTATACCACTTTATCTAACTGAAAGAATAAACATTGCTAACTTTTTTTCTCACAGCACTTTTGATCAGTTTTTTCTCTCTATTTTGGTCCTACTTACTGTAGTTCTGTAGCAATGGAAACTGCATCAATAGACAGGCTGCTCCTTATTTGACTGGACATTTTTAACAATATTAGGTAATAACATTATATAAATGTGTATCAACTTGAGCACCAAAACTAACTTCTAGACTTTTATTTCTTAATTTCAGATGCTGCAGCAGGAAATGGAGTACTAACAAAAGCCACAGTTCCTATTTACGCAACAGGTGTACTTACATGTTATATCCAGGTAAAAGCTATTCTTCAATTATGAATTTGAAAAGACAATAATTATCTTTACTTAAAACTCCAAAATAAAATTTAAGTAAGTCTAGGAATACTTAATGCTTTTCCTTAGATCCTAAACTATATAACTTTCAAAAATGTATAGAAAGAGATTTCACCTTCCTTCCATGGCTACCTCTAAATAAATTTTTGCCTCCTTTTTTATGACTTCATTAATCTTGCACACTACATCTCACCACATCAAAAAGGTCAACTCTGCTTGTCAGCAGATTTTGAGGGGGGGCAGGGTGGATGCAGATGACTGGAATAGAAAATAGAAAACTTGTTATTTTCCGATAGGGACTTCATTCCTTTAAAAAATACGATACAATGTTATTACCACCAAAATCCTTTCCCCTTCTGTTTCGGGGGGGGGGGGGAGACACCTTGAAAAGTTATATTTAACTTTTTATCTTGAAAAGTTAGATTTCACCAGTATTTGCTATACTCCAATGAAGTATCACTATTTTCAGTATTATAAAATGAATGTAATAATATTTTCAGTATTCCTTTTAGTAAAAGGAACAGGATTAGGTCAAGCCATCAGTTCTACAAACATACAGTAATCACCGTTTGTTTAATTGTGAACGTTGGCATTTGATATAAGCTGCAGGGAGGGCTCAATCATTATTACATATTTTCATTTTAACAGAGGAGAGAAGTGGCCAAATCAATATACAGATCCAAAACTTAACTTTAAATATCAAGGTTGGCTGGAATTACAAACATAGCAAGAGAATCCAAGTCAAAATGAAGCATTCAGTGTTACAGAAATATGCCTTGAGAATATGGAAAGAATAGTAGATGCATAATTACTGTTATTCATAGCATGTAGTAGTTGTTAGTTTGCAAGCATTCTACATATTTTTGCTTTATGAGTTTTTATATACAGCTGATTTCACACTTTAAGGATATAATCAGTGGTGGGATTGAAATACCTGAACAACCAGTTCTCTTATTGGATGCAGGCCTGGGCCTCCGAGGCCTAAAATGGATTTCCGAAAGTGGCATCCACACACTTCTGCCAAACCGGTGCGAACCGGCTGAATCCCACCACTGGATATAACGACTGCAATTTATATTAATTTGGCTGATTATTCAGTAAAAAATAACAATATCATTGGTTGTGGTTCTCTGACTAATGATTTGGTATTACACGACAGAATAGACATCCTAAAAAATATATAGCCCATTATAGAACAAAATGCTGAGAGCAGGCACAGTATCTCCCGATCAAAGGGCACGGTTGACCCATGGCTCCCAAAATATTACTAGGCTTCCTTTAGTTAAAAACTTAATGTGGTCCAGGAAATTTTAATTTATGTTGTTAAATCTCTGCTTTCAGGAAGAAGACCGCAAGTTATTAGTAGGATTTTTAGAGGATGTCATGACTATGCTTTCATTATCTCATGCGCCCCTTGATAGCCTGAAAGCATCTTTTGTGGAATTAGGGTAAAGTATATTATTGAAACTGGTATAAAGGAGCTATCGTTTACATACAGCTTCAGATATAAGAATTCAATCTCAGAGATTTTGGAATTCTGTTCCTAAACATTTGCATTAGTAAATGAAGCGATAATGTATGTGTCTTCAGGACAGGAATGCTGTTACGTTTTGTGACATTTTTTTAAGCAAAAAAATGATGGAGCATCTTACATACAGTAGCAATATTCTCAGATTACCTTAGTTGTAATTAATTGGAGGAAAAAGTTATATGTTAGCTTCAAAATAATAATAAACCAATTTGATAAGTAGTACAAATGTATATATTAATCTTAAAAGATATTGGAAAATTGATCAATTTCAGATCAACCAGCCACATGAAACCTATATCTGAACTTTCCTTGTTCATGCAGTGCATGCAGTGTAAATTCAGGATAGTCAAATGTTTGCTCTAAATAGTTCCTACTCTAAAAATACACTTTTGGGGATAAATATGGTTGAATGTGTGAATAAAATGTAACTGGAGGCATTTTGCTTTTGTTTAGACTGATTCAGGTTAGCTAAGGGCTTCACTTAGGGGAAAAAATGGAGAAAATGTTTGAAGAGAGAAGGAAAGTGCAAAATAAGTGGAGTTGTTGGAAAGCAAATTATTTATAGCTCAAACCTGATTGTTTTGTGTTCTCAGTGCAAACCCAGCATACCATGAATTGCTGCTAACTGTATTATGGTACGGAGTTGTCCATACTTCAGCACTTGTTCGCTGTACAGCTGCCAGAATGTTTGAGGTAAGTGTTTATTGGACATATTTTAGATATTACTAATTCTAATCCCTCCAGAAATACCAGTTGCCCTTCCCTGTGGCTATCACCATTTAATTCCTCTTTTATCAAAGACCCTAGATGTGAGACAGAGGGGAAGCCTCCCAGTCAAAAGGATATGATGTGGGGTTTCAGAATACATCTATTTTTATAAGGAGTATTAGTTATGTTAAAAATGCTTTCAGAAGGGAAGCATTTGGGAACAGGGGAAAATAGTAATTTATCTGATCTGATATATTTAGATTTTAAAAGTACACTTTAATATTACATTCTGTTTTAAAATATTTTGAAGTTGTTGTGCACTGTGCGATGGAGCAGGATGTTAATCCTATAGTTTGAAATGTATTTTTCATCATTCATTTCATTTTTTTTTAAGGAATTGCTCGGTTACATGTGTTTGTGAAACATTTCAGGGGAACAGGCCAAATTAGACCTTTATTTCTGACCTGAATTGGTGCATTGCTTGCTTAAAAACTTCTGTTAGCTCTGAGAAATCATTTCAGTGCTGAATTCAGTGTTCAAACCAGCCATCAGTTGTAAGTACCTAGTGAATTGGACAGTATCTCTAAAATGTACAATTGCTTCCAGTGATAATATCTGGAATTGCCTGTACTGTGATTAAAAATGAATATTAAGTAAGGAAAAAAACAGCATGCTTTTCTTGTTTTGCTTGATATTGCTGGCACATAGAACCGAAAGAAAGGGGGTAAAAAAAATTCATGTAAGGTTCCTGATCTAACCATACAACAAATTGTACAAGCTGTAAAATGGAGATATATCATTCTATTCCACTTGTTTTATATCAGACTATTCCACTTGTTTTAAGTTACTCCTCAAATTTTACCAATGTCACTTTAGTAGTACCTTGAAAATAAGTCATACCTTTAATGAATAGATTTGACAGTGGTTTGGAACATTTTAATGTCTTAAAATAAATCATTTGACCCTGCTCAATAATAAGGGCCATCTTGCCATTTTCTGCTACATACACAAAGATACTGGTCTAATTCCAAGTCTTCGTAACAGTGCAATTCAAGATAAGAAATTAAATAGAAATGTTAGTAATATATTATTTGCACATAAGTGGCTTCTAAACACCATTTAGATCTAAAAAATATTGCAGGTGACAAAGCATATAAGGTTAAAACAGGGTTTTATTTTGTTTTGTCACATATTTATTTTCTCATAATAAGATGACTTATTTGAGAGTATTGAGAACTCAATCTTTGAATTGTACTTATATTTTCAAATACACCCAGAGGCTAGTCTGCATTATTATTTTGTGAGTTTCTTTCTTCATCTAAGCTTTTTTTTTTTTAAATGACCATTGTCAAATGGAGAAAATGGCTAAATGAGATGTGCCCAATAAATTTTTCTAGTTTACTTTTTTTTAAATTGTGGGATAAATGCTATTTCATATGAAAGATGTATTTCCTTTTTATAATTCAGCCAGAATAGCAACAATATGCATTTATAATTAACTCTAATATGATTATATAAAGGTTTAATTGGGTAGTGAAGAAGTTCAAGTATTTGATATTGGTCTAAACTAACATGCTGTTTTTTACCTAGTTTTCCCTTTTGCTTTGTATGTATGTGTGTGTTTGAGTGTGCATGCATTAATATTAAATTGAACATAATCTTGAGTATTCTGTGTTGATCCAGATTTGATCCTGGTTTGAACACTGTCCATGCACAGTAAGGACATCAACTTGAATCTCTGTTGTAGTACATAAGTTAAAACCATGGGTGGGCATTTGATTCTGTACTACCTATTACTTTGTTTGAAGTTTTACATAGATTGCCGGACTATGTAGCTCGTTATCTGGTATAGCCAGACATTTATAATGTCATGCAAGAGTACAGATTCAAATTCTATTAATGTGAATTAATTATACTTTTAGTCACTGAATATCCTGAAATTGTACTCTTGCTTTTTAAATCAACATACGTTAACAATGTACACAAATACTATAGTATAAAAGCAAGAACTATGCAAGACTGAAGTCAACCCACCCCTGGTTTATAACAAGACAAGTAATCATTGTGGCTTTCTATCAAAAAAATCCTACTGTTACATCTTGAAATCAAAATATATTCTAAAATGAGAATCCAGGTTCTCATTATCTGATATGTAAGTCTTCTTATTATCTCAAGCTTCTTTTTTAAGTTCTTTTTATCCTAAGTATATATTTACTAAGTAATTAAAAGCCATGGTTAGGGTTAAAAACATTAAAAAAAAAAAAAAGCTGATGGAATAAAAATTATGTCAGAATGGTACATTGTTTGGATCTCCAGTAAAGCGTTTCCCAACCTGCTGTCCTTAACAATTATACCTTACAGCAGTGGTTCTCAACCTGTGGGTCGGGACCCTATTTGGGGTCGATCGACCATTTCACAGGGGTCGCCAAGCAAGGCTGTCTGCCATTTTTTTTGTCCGCCATTTTTTTTTGTTCGCCATTTTTTCCCCTTTTCCGGCGGGTGCCTTACCTCCCTTGGGCTGGGCCAGCTGGTGGTCGGCCTGCTCCGTCTCTGCTGCTTGCCAGCTACGCCTCAGCCGGCGCAGGGGGCGGAACCACGCATGCGCGGCGCTCCCGGGCAGGGAAAGTCCTCGACTTACGACTGGTTGGGTAGTCCTCGACTTACGACCGGTTTAGTCCTCGACTTATGACCGGCTTAGTCCTCGACTTACGACCAGCTTAGTCCTCGACTTACAACCGGTTGGGGTCGCGGCATTAAAAAGGTTGAGAACCACTGCCTTACAGAATCCCTGCCAGTATAGACATCCTTAGTACAAAACAGACAATTAAAATCAAGGTTATGCTCTTTTTCAGAGCAGGATGGCTTGCTTCTGGGATTAAAATATTCCAACAAACATGAGTTTGCTGAGTCAGGTTTTAATGCTCAAATGCCAGCCCCAGAACCAACTCTAATGGAATTTGTTGTCCTTTTTGTATTTGTCCTTGTCAAATTATTATCTTTTAATAGTGTCAGTAGAGCCCAGTTTATGCTCACAAATCAGAAAAACTCTTTTGGAGTTCTTAGTTATCTGTTCTTCATACGGAATCAGGTGTTGTTGTTGTTGTTTTTCTTTAGTGAACATGACACATTCCTACCTTTCAGAATAAGTCCGTTTCTTTTGTAGAGCTCTAACAAGGTAGCCCTAATGGAGCTTTATAAACTTTAAATGTTACTTTGAAATTTAAACACTACCATTCAGGATACTGTCAGGATCTTTTGTTGTTTTGTTACCTAACAACTCTATAGTTTCTCTGTGCTGCCTGCTTGGGCCACTTAACGCTTTCATCATGTCTTCTGCATAGTTGTATTAAAGGAGCACTTTAGCGTAGCGATACTTGCTTCTAATTTTGGTTTGCTTTTTGTGTTTCTCTTCCTCTTGGTTACGCTGTTCTTCCCATGATACTGTGCTCACTCTTTCCGCGCATCACCCGTGATACCCCTCTGCTCTGCCCACTCAGCTGTTGGTGAAGGGGGTACATGAAACTCTGGTAGCTCAGAGAGTGGTTCCTGCTCTCATTACTCTCTCCAGTGACCCTGAAATGTAAGTTTCCCAGCTGTCTTCTACAACTAGCTCCCTCTTACAACTTGTCAAGAAATAAACCACCAGAATGCATTTGTTAATATTCAAATATTTTTTTAAAGAAAAATCACTAAGTATAAAATATACCCAATATCTTTAGCAACTAAAAGAGTAAGTGCTTTATTCCTACAAGCAAGCTCAAGGTCATTCGAAACACTAACTAGTAAAATAGTTGGAAGAATAATGCAACCTTAAACTTAATTCTTTCTGAAACAAAACTATAATAACTTTTTCAAGGTCTGAATAAGTTTCAGATGTTATCATACTGCTGTTTGTTTCTTCCATGCTGAAGAGGGATGCTAATTTCACTAATACATTACTGCCAGGAAATGTTAAAGCATGAGGAGAGTCCTTACTTACTTTAATGCCCTGTGTGGGTGACTAAACTTAGAAAGACTGGTGATTCTGCCTGCCCATCCTCAGTCACAGCTAACTTAGTTATCCTTCCAGTTTAAAACCATTTTTATTGCATGTTGACTGGTTTACAGCTGACTCTTCGAGGCATGCGTGAAGCCTTAGTTGACAAGCGGGTTGCTCCGGCCCTTGTTACCTTGTCCAGTGATCCTGAATTGTGAGTTTCTGATTGTGACCTTGAGTTAATCTTTCTGTATCTCTCTCTCTCTCTCTTTTTAATTTTGATACTACTTCCTGGTCTAACTCCTGTCACTGCTAGCAGTTAATACCTTAATGGAGTTTCAAAATTAGTATTTTATTTTTAATTAAAAACTATTTTACTGTTAAGAGCTGAGTATATGTTTTGCTTTGTTTTGCTCCTAGCTCTGTAAGAATAGCCACAATTCCTGCTTTTGGGACCATCATGGAAACGGTCACTCAGAGAGAGGTAGGAGTTCTGTGTATTGTACTAGGACAAGGGTAGGCAACCTTGGCTCTTTTATGACTCATGGACTTCAATGGCCACCACAAAAAAACATCACAAAATTGGGTCAGTCAAGGGGATGACTCCATTTACAATCATCACAACTTACAACTGTAATGGGGATGCTCCATTATGGTTAAAAGTTGAGGGCTACTTGTATGCATTCTGAATCAACTTCCTTTCAAAGAGAGCATCATAGTTATCAGGATGGTGCAAACTCCTTCCTATGGTATCTGGTCATTTTTCCACATCTCATTTTCATGATATAAAGATTAGTCTATGTATAATAGAGTTATTAAAATCTTGAAATAGTAAAGAAAGGGCACCAAATCCTGACATTGCAAATAAGTGAAATAAAAAAATGTCGTAATTATTACTGCATGTGTCCAGAATTTCTGTTGTGCTTTTTCAAAGCCACTCTTTATATTCAGGCTTACAGGCTAATAATATACATAATGTAGAAGGGAAAAATAGAATGTCTAAGGAATGTGAACTTCCATGCCTTCCAGCCTGTTTTTGATAAAGTTAACTTGGGAGAGAGAGATTTCTTTTAAATGCACTGCCATATCATGCAGTCAAGGCGCTTGGTAGAGCATGGTTACATAGATTAAGTCCCACTTTGCTATTTTTGTTTGGATGTATGAAGCCTAACATATCTTAGTATAAAGCTATAGTAGAAACTATATGTAACAAGAAATGTATTAATGTTTTCATTCTTAAAATTCATTTCATAAGGTACTCAGCAAAAAAATCTTTGAATGGGCAGCCCATATTTTCAAAAACTTGCGAGTTAACGAATAATGGTTAAAAAAATATAGCAGAGTTTGCATTTGTATAATTTCAGCCTGTTCCTTATTTTCTAAAATAACATAGTAGAGGAAATGGAACTGCACATTTGTACTGAGTCATACATGTGTGCTGAATAAGTAGTAATAGATTAGTTTAAATACATAACTACACATTTGTACCAGGGAGTTAATTACATATTGATGTTTTGTTGGGATTAATGGAATCTAGAAATTTGAAAATGGGGATCCAAAAGACATTAGTCAGCATCATTTTTTAAAAAGTGCATACATTCTAGAGAAGATTTTCTACAAAAAAAGATGTTGAGGGTGGGAGTTTGCTTAAGAGATAAAAGTATTCATGCTAGGATTTTTTGTAACAATAAAAACCTGATGATGTTCATGTCAAAACAAGTAAAATGATAAAAGTCATTTTTTTGGGGGTGTTATTATTTTTTTACTTATTTCTACAATAAAGTTTTCATATCTTATAAATATGTTGTCTTTTAAGCTTTTGGAAAGAGTCAAAATGCAGTTGGCCTCTTTTCTGGAAGATCCCCAATACCAAGACCAACACTCTCTGCACACAGAAATAATAAAAACCTTTGGAAGAGTCGGTCCAAATGCTGAGCCAAGATTTAGAGATGAATGTGAGTTTGAATGACAAAGCATAAAGACATCTGTTTTTCAGTTTGTCAACAATTATAGTTTATTCTTGCACATTTTGGTGATGTTATTGATTATCATTTTTTTTTTCACATATTCCTCTTTCCAGTTGTTCTTCCACATTTGCATAAACTTGCCATGGTTAATAACCAGCAATCTGCAGACTCAAAACGACTGGACATAGCTACTCATCTCTTTGAAGCCTATAGTGCACTCTCCTGCTGTTGTATCCTTGTTTGATTTGAAATTATAATTTGATATTTGTATAAACTATTGAAAAATACTCCTTCACAAATTGTAATATTGAGTGCAATGTTTCCATCAGGTTTTGCTGAGAATATTAAAGGCAGACAAATTAAACAGGTTTTACAAATGAAGGCAAAAATGCGTGTTCCAGGATCCAATCTGGGTCGGTCACCGGGACCAGAGGTTTGGTCTTCCGAGCTTTCGTGCTGGAGCCCATCTTCAGGGAACGTCTCTCTAGCAGAGTATCAAACAGCTTTTAATAAGTGGAGTCAGCAGTGTGCTGCAGGTGCCAAAAAGGCCAACACAGTGCTAGGCTGCATTAACAGAGGGATAGAATCAAGATCACATGAAGTGTTAATACCTCTTTACAATGCCTTAGTAAGGCCACACTTGGAATACTGCATCCAGTTTTGGTCACCACAATGTAAAAAAAGATGTGGAGACTCTAGAAAGAGTACAGAGAAGAGCCACAAAGATGATTAGGGGACTGGAGGCTAAAACGTATAAGGAATGGTTGCTGGAATTGAGTATGTCTAGTTTAACGAAGAGAAGGATGACGTGATAGCAGTCTTCCAATATCTCAGGGGCTGCCACAAAGAAGAGGGAGTCAAGCTATTCTCCAAAGCACCTGAAGGCAAGACAAGAAGCAATGGATGTAAACTGACTAATCAAAGAGAAGCAACCTAGAACTAAGGAGAAATTTCCTGAAAGTTAGAACAATTAATCGGTGGAACAACCTGCCTCCAGAAGCTGTGAATGCTCCAAGAATGGAAGTTTTTAAGAAGAGACTGGACAGCCATTTGTCTGAAATGGTATAGGGTTTCCTGCCTGAGCAGGGGGTTGGAGTACATGTTGATAATAATAAAGCCACTACATAATTTCACCCACCCCCTTTTTGTCTTTGAAGACTACTAAGCACTTCATTTGCTGCAAAATGCTGCAATCCATGTGCTAGCAAATGAGAAATGTCAGGAATGCAAGGTCAGCAAAATACACTTGTATTCTGAGTACAAGTTAGCCAACAGTTTGCTTCCCTGTAAAATACAAAATGCTGGTTAGAACTTTTAAAGCCCTATGAGTTTGGGGTTCTGGTTGTCTGTGGTACTGTGTTCTCTGCATAGAATCTGCTTGTCCTGTGCTTTCTGGCCAAGACAAAAATCTTCCAGTCTCTTCCTTCAAGAAAGGGGAAAGCCAAAGGCAGATATTCTGAGTGTTGAACTCAACTCTGTGGAATATCTCATCCCCCAAGGTTAGAATGTCCCCCGCCTATTTGTATTTAGAAAGAGAATAATTTACAAAGTGTGAAATATTTCTTAATAGGGCTGCTACTTGTTCCATTCGAATTTATGTTTTTATGTTACTTTGATTTCCGCTGTATTTTGATTTATCAGGGTTGTATTCACGGATTGTGTCATTCGATATAAGTCAAAGTCATTAGATAGGGATGGAGGGGGAGTTTATATAAAGAAACGAAGTCTTAATCATAACTAAATTCAAGACTTAGAACTGGTTTATTTTATCTTTGATTTATGTTATTTGAAAAAATGTTTTTTCCTGTCCTATTAAGATTGTATTGTTGCAAATATATTGCATTTCTCAATTATTTCAAATGCTTTAGTCTCTTACTAAGACAATAAAATAGTAACATCCAGTTACTTAGTTACTAAGTTAACTAAACATACTATGGTTTTTGCACATTATTTTCTGGTTTTGACTTAAGATGAAGGAGTTGGTAAGCCATTTTTTTTTTGTTGGACCTTAACTGCTTTAACTTTTAGTTATTTCAGAAGAGTTAATGATCAGTCACTTCTTACCTGGACTCAGATGTTTAAGAAATGACATGGAAGCTCTCTCACCAGAACATGAGGTGAATATACAAGCTGCAATTTTATTTTTAATGTTTATAATGACATAAGAAATTTATAATATTAGCATAACACTGTCAAATTAGAAATACTTTTTAAGATTAAGATGCAAATATTAAATTAATGCTAAAAATATACTACATAAGCTTAAATTATTAGGTAAAATAAAATATATCACTGTTTGATCTTACTAGTAATGAAGTAAATCATAATTTCTGTTTTCATTAATTTTAAGCCTTGTGGCCATAATATTTCATTCGTAAGATATTACCAAAAATATTGAATTGTGATGTACCTCTCAAGTTTGATTGTGTCCATTTAGATAACATGAATTGTCATAAATCTTCTCTTTGTTCTGAACATTTGTCCTGTCCCATATCTTAGGTAATTTTAAATTCCATGATAAAAGAGTGTGAACAGAAAGTGGAAAATAGGAGTGTTCAAGAACCACAAGGGTAAGTTTTTTTTGTTTTTTTTTTACAAAAGACACAAATTACATGGGCAACGCTATTAAAGCAGAATATTTGTATTCATTTAATAATTTTTATTCTTTTCTGAAATGACATAGGCTAATGCAGTGGAAGAAAATTGAAAAACAGTTGTAAAAGAAAGTCAGTCATACACAATGCTTTATTAAAATGTATAAATCCCAGTGGTAATCAGAAATAAGAAAGAAATAAGACGTAGTCCTTTTGCCCTTTGGTTTGATTTTCAAGGGACATAATGGGAAATCCAAGTTCGTTGGGAAAAATCATTTGTTTCTTGGTACCTTGAACAACTGTTCTTAAGAGATCCTGGAACAGCTGATCTTAAGTGATACACTGTTTTGAGAATTAATCTGTCATTCCCCTTTCCTCTTCAGATCTTATTCTGAGCATCCAATTACATGCCAGTGCAGTTTTATGGATAAATTTTAACTAAAAACAGGTTGAGTTGCAGAATTGCATCCTATCTTGAATAAATTAAAAGTTATTCAATGGTATCATTCCACAGAGGGCTTGGATTTCCTACTGAAGCAACATATAGCCTTAATTGGCAGCTGCATTTTTCATCTTGGAAAAATCTCATTCAAGTTTAGAAGCCATCATTCTATTGTTTTAATGACAAATTATTTTGATTACAATTAAAACTTTCTTGGGGTAAATAAACTATCTTATACTAAATCAGATCCGCTGTTTAGCCTAATTTTGTCTTTGGGAGCAGTTTTTTTTTTAAAGTCTCATATCAGAGGTCTTCTTCCCAACCAGTTTAGATTGTTGTAATTGATGATGTTATAGATTAACTTACTTTTCTTTCCTCCTAGTTCTATGTCAATTGCAGCAAGCCTTGTGAGTGAAGATACCAAGACCAAGTTTCTGAATAAAATGGGCCAGTTAACCACTTCAGGTGCCATGCTGGCTAATGTATTCCAGAGGAAGAAGTAAATTGGAGTTAAGAATTAAAGAACATTACACTGAGAGACCTCATTAAGACTTGTTCCTTGTACTTGAAGTACTTGTCTTCTTCTTTTCCGTCTTATGTTCTTGTAGTATAATTTTACTCTAATCTACAAAGATATTTGCACTGCTCTTGAATATTGCTACATATCTGTTAATTTGGGGCAAAATGTGGTTGATTATAAAACTAAATTAAGTCTGTATCAAGTCCCTGTCCTGTGTTCTTGTCTTTCCAGCATATTTTTTATATATAGTGGGGGTTTTTTAATTTCCTGATGGGTTCTTGGCTGATATCTGTATTATACATGGAACTGTCATGATGGTACTTAAAATAATGTAAATTTGAAGTCACCGTTATAAAGTAATAAAAGTGGAGATTACTTATGTATTTAACTTATAAGAGGGATAATGCAGAGCTTTTTTAATGTTTCTAAAATGAAAGGTAAGGGCCACCAGCACTGATTCCTGGATTGTTTTTGTAAGTTGTTATATATTTGAATTATAGAAGTGAATGGAGGATATAATGTACCACGGAATTCCTTGCACTACTAGGAACAAATGAATGCATTTTTTTAAAATGTCTCTCATATATGTATTGGCATTTTCAATGTGTATAAAACAGCTTAGTATTAACCTTTCTGCAAGACAGTTTATACTGGGAAGGGGAGGAGGAATAAATAGTGCAAACCTAATCATATGTACCTTAATGAAAGCCATATTGATTTCAATGAAGGTTTCTTTCATATGAGTGAGTCTAATATTGCCTTGTTAGAATAAACTTTAAGTGATACTGCTCTACATAAATGCTTCAAGCCAACATTGTGTTTCTGCATATGACAACTTGTGTGTTTGTAGTGTGTCCATGCTAAAGTAACATCTACTTAAATATCCTTCCCCAAAAAATAATTGACATAGAACATTCTGGGCAGTACATAAGGTAAACGTATTTATAGGATATTAGGCAGAAGGACTGGTTGCAGCAGTAAGAGATTGGCCAGCATTTTGTTTAACATGGGTTTTAAATCTTGCAAGGCAAGGATGAAAGAAAATGTGTCATCCGATGCCCCAAGAAGCACAGAAGTGACTGAAAGCAATAATTTATTAAATTTTAAATGCAATGCCATATAATATTCTCTTAACATCCTGGTATTTTTAAAAATTGCAACTGTAATGATCTTCTATCCTTGTAGCATTTTTCAAAAGTGAATTAATCTAAGCCCACCCATTGTTTCATAACTCTATAAATATCCAGATGCAAATTCTGTCCAACTATATAGCTTTCGCCCTTTCTACATTTTCTCCACAATACCGTACATATTTTGTAAATATGCATGCACATACACATTCTTTTTAAAAATAAAAGGAAGACATTACCTAATGCTGTGCCTATTTTAATGAAATTATTGCTTTAGTGTTAAATCTGGAGCAGAGACAAACAGACCTGAATCTCTTGTAGAATCCTAGTATAAGTATCAGTAGATCTGTTATACACATGGTCAAGCTCAATCCCAATGTTATTTCAAGGCAAAGGAATAGCTTTTCTGTTATTACTCTTTTTTTTAATAAATTGTGATTAACACATTTTCAACAATTAATCTTGGAAAGAAATACCACAAATATCCTTAGCCCATTGCTAGATTAAAATTCCCATCATTTCCATCCACCACTGTCCAAAACTATTTCTGGGTAGAGCTGATAGAAGTTGCATTCTAGATTCTGTGAAAGGTAGCAGGTCAGGCAAGCTTGCCTTATTATATACTTTGGGATTCCTTATGCTGAGAAGTAGGAAAATATTAATTAAAACTTGTCTAAAAGAAGTGCATATGCATATGTCATCAGTTTTTCACTGTACTAGGCTGGATTGCATCTGGAGTATTTTTACATTCCCAATATACCTTCATCAGAAGAAAGTATGCATTTGGAAAAGAATAGATAACTTGCATTTAAAGTGCAAATATAATACCCATTTGGAAATCCAATTGATGATGAATGATGAATGGGTATTCACCTCACTATCTGCCAGTTGTACTAACTGTATTGCAAATGCTGTCTTAGTAGACCACCTGATAATGAAATCCTGGCGCATTCCAGAAGAAGTAGGCGTGGCTAATTCTCCTGTTCTTTCTTGAATTAAATAAAATGTTTTGCATACCTGTTTTGTATGTTTATTTAAAGAATTCTAAGTGATTTGGCATTTTTGAAGGGTGTTGACATTTAATATTTGAACATTTAATGTTCATGTAACATGGTTGGTTTTTTTTTATCAAATACATTCCATTTCATTTTTTAAATAATGCAGTCCATTATATAAATACATATTCTTAAAGTATAAATAAGTGCTGAAATTTCTCCCTGCAGCCACTGCCTAATCCCATTTAACTATAGCTTTTCATTCACATCACTGCAGTAACAATCATACTGTATATGTCACTCCTGTGCCACATGAGGGATAGAATTATTTGTTCTGCTCATCAAATCGATTAGCGAAAACGTCTCTTACATACTTCAGATGTCAAGATTCCCAACCCAGAAAATCCTATATATGGATTTCTGGGAGTTGGATGGCATCTAATTTTAATATGTTATTTCAGATTGTTCAGAAAATAGCATAGTTACGACGTATTTGCATATATAGGCTGACAAATATATTCTAGAAATATATATGGCCTTTTCTGGAACTTTTGATAGGCATATTATCTGCAACAGCTTCAAGAGGTACATCAAAATATGGCAGAATTATTGCCTAGTACAGGGGTTCCCAACTGGGGATGCAAGAGGATATTCCAGGGCGTGTGAAAACTTGGTTTAGAAATTTCAAAATTACAGTGTATGCATAATTTGTTGCCGTTATTTTGAACTTTTGTAAGGGGTGCAAGAATATATCAGAAGCATTCTAGGGGTATGGGGTATAGAATACGTTGGGAACAGCTGGCTTAGTATCCTTAAGTAGCTATAAATATACATGCGCATTTCATGTTGCGATCCAAGAAAAAGTAGTATGTAGAGGCCAACTTTACTAATTGTTGGCCAAGCAAATATCACTTTGGAGAATACAAAGCGACAAGATTTCTTTTAATCCTTTAGTACCAAGGTATCTAGACCTTTAGATTAAAACCAACAGCTTAAATTCACCCTGCTACTTTATAAGTAGCCACTGCAGCACTATGAAGATAAATCATTACAGTGTATGATTCCACTTAGCTACTCCATTTAACATTCTGACAGATATATACTGCACCAGTTACACCTTCTGTCCCATGTGGGATACTGTGGTAATCAAACCCTGAGGCTACTAAGACATAGATTAATAAAGTGGAGGATCTTACTCCAGGTAGGATTGTACCTGGTGCCAGGAAAATAAAAGCATAGAGCGCAGAATGGTACTTTAATACATCATCTTCCTAATCCCAGGTTTCAAATGAGCTGGTCACACTTCAATTAGATTTAAGTTTTGCTTGTGGATTCCCATCCAATCCAGCATAATCCCTCCTAATTAAGATGGGAAGGAGAGAGAAAAGTTTATAGTATTAACATACTGATAACATGTTCCAAATCTCTAACAGCTTCATAATAGACACTGAAGAAGAGCCACATTAGTCTATACATTTGATAAATCTAAAATAGTCAAAAGATTATTTCATATCAATCCTCCTCTGGCACATAGCTTTGTGCCATATAATTGGAAAGATGGGAAAGTTTTTTGGAATTTCACAAGTGACTTTTGGGGAGAGGTCAAGTCAATTATGTAAATGGAAAAGAATAAAATGATTATACAGGGTCTTCCCCAAATCAAATTCAAGTATTATCCACTATTTTATGAGCCAGGAGAAAACTATTCCAGCATAAAAATTGCTTTCCCGTAGATAATCCCTGTCCTGTCACAGGAATCATGCTGGCAAGCAGTGTTGTCCCTATGATGCAAAAGGCACATTAAGGATAAACATTAGTGGATGGCTCCAGGTTTATTTAGTTTTTCTCCCACCAAAAGTAACCAACTGGTGAGAAAATTTCAATCCTCTTTTCAACCTGGGCTAGTGTGGAAGCAAGTTTTAACGTGCAGTTAAAAGTCAGTTTAGACAGCGGATCCAAACTCATTCTGGTTTTGCACAAGTGTTCTGCAGAGATAGACCACCTACCGTAATTATTTTATCACCTGAAGACCAATAGAAAGTTGGGCTGTGAAGCAGAATAAAGAGAGGTCGATCTAGGTCTCTAAGCAACAGGTTGGTGCAGAGATCTAGTAGGCACAAGAGGAGGAAGTTTAAAAGAACTGGCTCCCTTCCATAACTAAAGCAGAACAGTCCTGGAAGATCAGAGGGGAAATGATGTGCTTGCACCAGCCTAATGGAGTCAATAGGTGCAAGCCATATCTCCCCCCCCCCCCGCTCCCTAGTGGTAATCTGAATACCTTTGACAAAATGGTGAACTGTGTTACTTTGTATCCATGGCCAATCTTGTTTTGGGATAAGGGGCAAAACATTATTTTTACAGCTAAAAACAGCTTAAGGCACCTCCAACTTAAGTCAGCTTCATCTGACACACACACACACACACACACACACCAATGAGGGCAACAACATGAGGAGACAGAAGAAAACAAAGACTGTTCGGACATGTTAGAGGTGAGGCAGCTGCAGTTTCAATAACCATGACAAGGGTTTTGTAACTCAGTTACATCTGCTAGTCCAAAGATCCCTGCTGTAGGTAGAAGACTGAAATATGGCTTTGTAAACAGTACTACATAAAATTGAAACTCTGTCTTTCAAGCAGAGTACATTCTACCAAGGGTAGTATTTTCTTTCTGGATGTCAAAGTGAAAAATTTTTCTGCCAAAAGTCATAGTTATTGAATTTCTGTGTGGCTATTGAGGAAAGACTGAACAAACATTCATTCTAGTTAATGTTTAATACCTAAGCGTTTCTCTTCATATTAAAGTTACAGTATACTGTATGTGTTCTAAGTGTTATGGTGTTTGTTATGTAATATCAAGCCATTTTTACATCAAATATACAAAAGTAGATTGCAAAAATATTTCTTAAGTCTCTAAGGAGCACTCAGTATTTCACTTCACAGGTCAGTTATCTGCAGTTGGAGGAGAAATTAACATTTTGCATTTTTAAAATAGGTGAGCGGATGTGTTTTTTTGTTGTTGTTTTAGTACTGTGGTATGCAGCTGGCAATGGTATAAAACCTGTACAGCTCGGGAAGCCCACAGAATAAACAGTATATGGTTGAGTAGACTGGCTCCAGGTTGGCAAATGAGTGAGGCAAGGTTGTAAACCCTCATCTTATTTATTCAACCTATGTGGAGAATGCTGTCTATATCGAGGGCGGCTGGGTGGGAAGAACTTGAGTGTGATTTTAAAACTGAAGGAAGAAACATCAATAATCTGCACTGTGCTAACAACACTACCCTGACAGCTGAAAATGCAGAGGATTTGCAAGCTTTAGTAAGAAGCAGAGTGAAAAGTTAATCCAAGATTAAGTATAAAGACCAAACAAATGACAAGTAATATAAGATCTGCCCCTCCCTCCTGTCCTGAAGTCTGAAGATCTGGTTCTGCTGGTTGCACTGGAGACCAGGTGGGGGAATTCCACGCTGGATTGATGACAGAATCTATCTCACCCCTTGCTCCTGGCTCTCGGCTCTCCACCCATTTAATCTTTCTGTTATCATATTGACGTATTCTCCTGTTCTTTTCCACTGTTTATTTTTATTCTATTATTTTACATCTGTTTACACTTTTTTTTCATTTCTTTTTATTGTTGTAAGCTGCCTACAGTAGCCCCATGGTG